TCACCTTTAAAATAAAATTAACTAGAGTCAAACACAAATGTGCTTCCTTTGTCTTTGAAACCATAACTTTTCTCTTTAACTGGAATCAAACCCTATTGTGTAAGATGGGAGAAAAAAGGCTGTCAAGTTGCTGCCTTAAAAAAGTGAAATCTTGGGGCAGCTAGGTGGTGGAACAGTAGATAGAGCACCGGCCCTGAAGTCAGGAGGACTGGAGTTCAAATCTGTCCTCAGACCAAACACTTGACAGTAGTAGCTGTGGGAGCCTGGTTAAGCCACTTAACCCCAATTGCCTAAAAAAAAAAAAACAGGAACATTTATTTTTTAAAAAATGAAGTCTTAGTAGAAGAAGGAATTGTATAGATAATCTAGTTTTTCCAACCAACCAACTGATATCTAAATAAAGAGAAAGAAGAAATGTCCAGAAGATGGAATCAAGGCCATGTTATAGAAATTGAATAAGAGATTGTAATAAAGTCTTGAAAAAGGCAGAGATAGGACCTTGGCTGGGCACAGTGGTGGGGGTAGGACAATGATAACTGACAACAGAGAGAAAACATTGCCACTCAACTCTTATTTCATGTTTTCTTTGAAAAGGAAACCAACCTTTAAACTAGAAACAACAAAACAAATCTGAGCAATAAGCAGCTGATATTGAACATAAGGAAGAATAATGTGAGAGAACATATAGCAGTCCTAGATTAATCTAAGTTAACCAGCCCAGATGAACTACATGCTTGGGTCTTGGGAGTGGGGAGAAGTTAAGGTGATTGTTGAGCCATTGTCAGTGATATTTGAAAGATCATAGAAAATGAGAAAGTTATATTTAGATTGGAAAAGAGTAAATGTCACAATTTCAACAAAAGGAAGGAATAGGATCTGCAAAGTATAGGCCAGTGAACTTGACTTCAATTCCTGGAACAGTTCTAGAGAGAATCATGGACTACTAAGAGCCAGCATTGTTTGATCAAAAAGTCACATCAGACTAACTTCATCCCCCCACCTTTTTTTAATAGGATTACTTACCTGGTAGATGAGAGGAATACTGGGATAAAGTATATCTAGATTTTAGCAAAGCTTTTGACAAAGTATCTCACACTTTTCTTGTGGATAAGATGGAGAGATATGGAATAGACAACCAAGTAGATTCATAACTGGTTATATGACTGAACTAAAAAATCATTTATTAATGATTTAGAGACAACAGGGCAGGTTTCCAATTGAGTACTCCAATTATCTGTGCTTGGCCAACATTTTTATCAATTATTTGGATAAAGTCATAGATGAAATGCTCCTCAAATTTGCAAATGACTCAAAGCTAGTAAGGATAGCTAACACACTGGATGATAATCAGTATTCAAAGAAACTTGATAGGCTAAGCATTGGGCTTAAATCTAAAAACATGATATTCAGTAGAGATAAAAGTAAAGTCTTGTCCTAGAGTATAAAAAATTAACTGCACAAATACAATATGGGTAAGGGCATGCTGTTGTTATTGTTGTTCAGTCATTTCAGTAGTGTCTGACTCTTCCTGACCCCATTTGGGATTTTTCTTGGCAAAGATACTGGAGAGGTTTGACATTTCCTTCTCCAGCTCATTATACGAATGAGGAAACTGAGGTTTACAGATAAGGCAAACAGGGGGAAATGACTTGTCCAGGATCACACATCTAGTAAATGTTTGAGGCTGGATTTTGAACTCAGAAAGATCACTCTTTCTGATTCCAGGGCTAGAGCTTTATCCACTACACCATCTAGCTGCCTGGGGACATGAATAGTCAGCTGTTTGTCTCAATTAGATCTGAGGTTTTAGTAAACTGTAAGCTTACAAACCAGCAGTGTGATGTGGTGGCCAAAAAAGCAAATGTAATCTTGAGCTGCATTTGGAGGAGCTTCTAGACATAAGGAGGTGACAATCCCACTGTATTTAACACTTGTATATGGTATTTAATCTTGGGCACCACAGTTGAAAGAAGACATCCATAAGCTGGAAAGTGCCCAGAAGAAAGAATTCAGGATGGTGAATGGACTTGAGCTCATGACATTTGAGCATCAGCTGGTGGAACTGGGAATGTTTAGCCTAGTGGAACAGGAGAGCTGTGTTCAGTTGTTTAAGGGGCTGTTCCATGGAGGAGGTATTGGGTCTGTTCTGTTTGGCCCAGAGAGCAGAACTAAGGGCAAAAGGTGGAAGGTTCAAAGAGGCAAGTGTAGTCTTGATGTCAGGAAAAACTTTATAGAAATTAGAGTTGGCCTTGATAGGTGGTGATTTCTCCCTCCTTGGAGTTCTTCATTCAAAGACTGGAGGATCATTTGTAGAATATATTATAGTATGGATTCCTTCATTTATGGGCTGGACTAAATGGCCTCAAAGGTCCTTAAAATTTTCAAATTCAGTAATTTATCCTGTGTCCCCATCAAGAACATCCCTCCACAATGTCCTTGATAGGTGGTCATCTAACCTTTGTTTAGTGATAATGGACTCACTACCTCAAAGGGCCACCATCCTGGAACAACACTCATTATTGTTACTATTACTAGCAATTATGACTAACATTTCTATAGAACCTCAAAGTTTACAAAATGCTTTCTTCACATCAACTCTGTGAAGTATGCAGTAAAGTTATTATCCTCATGTCACAAATGAGACAACTGAGGTTCAGAAAGGTTAAGTGACTTGTTCAGAATCACCCAAAGTTCTTCCTTACATACAATTGAGATTCGTCTCTCTGTAACTTGTCTCCATCGTTTCTAATTCTGTCTCCTGTATCAACACTAAGCAAATCTCCCTTGTCTTTTATATGATAGGTGCCCCATACTTGAAGACAATTGAGTATTGTTTAATTCACCCAAGTCTTCTCTTTTTTCCAGACTAATCAAACCTGGGACTGTTCTTCATATGACATTGTTTCCATATTTCTAATACTTTCAGTTATCTTCCTCTGGAAACTCTAGTTTGTCCCTGCTCCCTTTAAAAATAACAATAGCTAGTAATATCTAATATTTATATTTAATATATTTATATTTATATGGCTCTTTAAGGTTTACAAAGCACTTTACAAATATCTCATTCTATCCTCTCAACAACTCTGGGAGGTAGATGCTATTATTATCCCCATCTTAAAGTAAGGAAACTGAGGCAGATGAGGGTTTAGTAATTTCTTAAGGTCACAAAGCTAATAAACATCTGAGGCTAGATTTGAAGTCATGTCTTTCTGAGTTCAGGGCCAGTGTTTTATCCACAGAGATGCCTATGGTGTTCAGAAGTGGAAAAATTTATTTTAGGTATGACCTAAGGAATGAATAGCAGAATGGACTGTCCCTTGCCTGGACCATATACTTCTCTTGTTGCAGTCTAAAGTTGCATCTGTGGGGCTTTTATCTTTGCTCATTTGTTTGTTCATTTGTTTGTTTTTGCCAACACTATCACACAATTATTTCATATTGACCTTGTAGTAACTACTCCCCTACCCCAACTCTTTTCCACTGAAATACACACCAAATATATTTTTCCATTCAGTTCTGCAAGCATTTTTTAAGCACCTACTAAGTACATGGCCCCTTCTTCATTTGCTGGGGATACACTGACAAAAATGAAATTGTCCTTGACTTTGGGGAGCTTACATTCCATTTGTAGTGGAGAAGTAGGAGAGGGCTTACCATAAATGCACAGATAAGTGAATACCAAGTAATTCTGGAGTGAAAGGCTGTGGCAGGGAGAAGAAGAACCACTCAGGGGAATCCAAAAAGACCACGTTGTACAGTTGATTCTTATTTGGATGCATTTTAATCCTTTATTTATTTCAACTTCAAGGGGCAGAGTCTGTCCACCCCCATCAGGAACATTTCTTGGTAGGCTTTACATGAAACAGGACTTAGTTAATGCCAAATTAAAATGGTACTTAGAACACGGGAACTGGATGTTGAGATGTACCTGCCTGAATTCTAATTCCTCTCCTTTCTGAGATTTGCTGTTGCCTCCTTGGTCAATCACCCCTCCTACCACTCACTCTTTTTCTCATGACCTGATGTCCCCCATTATATCTACCAATTCAAATCAATTTTAACAAAATATTATTAAGCACTTGCCATGTGTAAGATAGTTGGGTGGTAGTGTTACAAAGAAAAGAAAGAAAGAAAAGAAAAGAAACATCTCATTTTTCTCTGTGACTCTATTTTTCTCTTCCATAAAATGTAGAGCAAACCATTTGCCCCTTTGTGTCACTCAGGAGTCTTACTGGAGTGAATGAGTTCTTGTTTTATAAAATTCTTTAGGAGAAGCTGCTATACTTGATTCCATTCAAGTCAATAAGCATTTATTAATCACCTACTATATCATGTGTAAGGCACTATGCTATGCACTGGGGATACAAAAACAAAAATGAAACAGTCCCTGACCTCACAAAGCTTGCAGTCTACTGGGGAGTACAGGGGAAATATATCTACACAGATAAGTAAATTCAAAATATATAGAAAGACACCTGTAGGCACAAAGGTGGAAAGAACATGTTGACAGCTGGGGAGATTGAAACAGAATGTAGTAGAATGAAAATGAGTAGAATGAAGAGAGTTATTCCAAAAAGAAAAAAGGCAGCCATTGAATATCAATGTTTATTTTTAAATATTCTGTTCCCTGCTGCACTGTGGTGGATATTCATTAACTAAGTCATCTTTAAAATCGATGGCAAGTCAAGCGTGAAAAATGCCTGTTCCAAATGTGGTGTGACTAGTGAAAATCAAGTGTTGTCAAATGATATGATGTGTCTATAGTTTCTGATGACTACTTACATGTTTAGCAGACAATGACAGTTATGTCTCATATGAAATCTCATCATTCTCATGATTTGACTTCTATGACGTGCCCATCCCAGATGAGTTAGTGTAGTCATTTAAACCTATGGTTGTGGAATATCGTATGTGCTTCATAAATGCATGCTGATATTTCTATGGTTTATTTGTGACCATTTGATCTTTTTTCCTCCTTTGGTGTTTGTTTGTCCCTGTAGAACTGACCTGCAATTTTCAGTGTAGACAGTGAACCTTAATCAATCCAAATCATGGAGACTAACCAGGAATCATCCCTCTTCTTGGTGAAGATTTTGGAGGAGCTAGACACCAAACAGAACACAGTTTCCTACCAGGACCTTTGCAAATCGTTGTGTGCTCGATTTGATTTATCTCAGCTAGCCAAGTTGAGAAGTGTGTTGTTTTACACAGCTTGTCTTGATCCGAATTTCCCAGCAACTTTATTCAAAGACAAAATGAGATGCACTGTGAACAATCAGCAATCAAAGAAAATCATGGTGGCTGCAGATATAGTAACAATATTCAACCTGATCCAAATGAATGGGGGTGCAGCAAAGGAAAAATTGCCTGCAGCGCGACAGAAAGTTAGGAAGAATGAATCATTCGAATCATGCAGGTCTGACACTGAGATATGCAATGTGATAGACTGTGTGCCTCCTAATTGTGAGCCAAGAGACAGGGAATTTAACCGGGGCTATTCAGCAAGACGATCGTTGAAGTGCAGGAAGATGGACTGCAAAGACTGCCAACAATTCGTACCTGCCTCAGAGCCTAACTTTTTGTTGGGAGTTAATAAGGAGACAAAAAGCCGGGCAGCTTCACTTGACAGGCTGCAGGCCCTGGCATCCTATTCCATTGCAAATTCTCAACCATGTGAAATGCAGAGCACTTATTTTCCCATGAACATTGAAAATGAGTCTATATCAGATCAAGACTCCTTACCCATGAACCCCGGGATGAAAGAAACCTTCATTTCCAATGAGGAGCCTTTTGTGGTCCAGTCCTGTGTGCAGAAGAGAAACATTTTTAAAGAAGATTTTCATAATCTGATCACAGTGTCACCAAGCTTAGTGCCCCCTGGCAAGAAAGCAGATGATGTGCTGGGAGAGCCGCAGACCAGAAAAGAAACTCATAAGCCAGCGTTCTTTAATCACAGCTTTGAAATGCCATACAATAGCCAATATTTAAATCCTGTTTACTCTCCTGTCCCTGACAAAAGACGGGCAAAGCATGAGAGCTTGGATGATCTCCAAGCTTCTACATATTTTGGACCCACTACAGTTCTAGGGGCCCAAGAAGGGAAGAGGTGGTCAGGGAAGCCAAGTAAGCAGACTGCCTGGCCAGCAAAGAGCTGGAGTTTAAACACTGAGGAGGTTCCTGACTTCGAAAGGTCTTTTTTCAATAGGAACCCAACTGATGAGAAACCTCGATATCAGGGTTCAAGCAATCAGCCTTCCAATTTCTCAGCCTCAGACAGGCACCAGACGTACTTAAATCCAGAAGATCAACAAGCAATCATCCCCACAAGCTATGCAGTGAAACAAAATGTTCACAAGTCTAAAGAGATTCCCTGTCCCATTGACATTGAGAAACACGAGCCCATCAAAAAGTTCAAGGACAAAAGCATTAACTGTACAGCGGTTCAGATGAGCATTGACAAAACCAGCAGCGTGGGGACTCAAACTGACCAGCACATTCTGGAGCTCAAGAAATGTAAAGATCTGTGTACCTCCAATCAGAGCAAGTATGGAGAAAGGCATTCGGTGAAGCAGTCGGATGAGGACTCAGAAATCATTAGTGATGACATCAGTGACATTTTTCGGTTTCTGGACGACATGAGCATCTGTGGTTCCACTGGAGTGATACAGTCCTCTTGTTACAACAGCACCGGCTCCTTATCTCAGCTAAATAAATCAGACTGTGACAGCTCACCTGAGCACAACCTAGCCAAAATTACCAGTGGAAGCACTGGCAATAAGATAGACAAGGGGGGCCGATCTGAAAAGGACAATCCTGAAGATGAGTTAAAAACAAGCGTTTGCAAACTAGTGCTTAGGATTGGCGAGATAGAAAGAAAACTGGAATCTCTGTCAGGGGTTAGAGAGGAAATCTCTCAAGTTTTAGGCAAATTAAACAGGTTGGATCAAAGAATACAGCAGCCTGAGAAAGTCAGTGTACAGATCGATCTGAATTCCTTAACAAGTGAGGTTCCGTCTGATGACAGCACCTCTCCCCAAATATTCCATCCCCACAATAGCTCACACGGAAGCAAGTTGGAAAACAGTCCGGACTGGTGTTGTTCTGATGCTAGTGGAAGCAACAGTGAAAGCCTTCGAGTCAAGGCCTTAAAAAAGAGTCTGTTTACCAGAAGGTCCTCAAGGTCACTGACTGAGGAGAATAGTGCTACTGAGTCAAAAATAGCAAGCATTTCCAATTCTCCCAGAGACTGGAGGGCGATCACTTACACCAATGAGGTTGGCCTCAATGAAGAAGAGATAAAAGACAGAGGAGCTGCAGAAAATAAAGACTGGCACAGAAAATCAAAAGAGGTAATTTCAATTTAAGCTCATGTAATCAATATTGTAGAAGAGCATGGACACAAGCCATAAAATATTCTCAGCTTGTCTGAAAGTCCAGACATTACAAGGCACCCCCTCCCTTTTTGCCCACTGCATTTCCATCTGGATTTAGCCAATCTTCTATTTGCTGTAGAAATCTCCTTATACAGCTCAACAGAATTGAGCTGTTCTTGACTAACGGGGTCAGTCAGTCACAAAATGCACATGTTCTGTTGTTGCAGGCAGAATATAATTTGATCCAAATGTCACACATGGCCTGGAACCCCAAACTCTGGGCTCATAAATATCAGGTTAATATGGGGCTATTTCCCCTTCAAATCATATCTCTTCGGCTCATTTTGTCTGTATCCAGAGTATCCCCTGGGAATCTCAGTTCCCTTTCTGGATCTCTCCCTGATAGACTCTGGCAAATCTCCCTGAACCCTTTTATACGCCCAGTGCAAAGAGTTGGCTCTGATTCACGATAGTCTTAGCCAACTGAATCATCCCCGTGCTGAGACATGATAACAGGGTGGGGGTGGGGTGGAGAAGCAGGGACAGTGAAAAGAGCACTAGCTCTGAAGTCAGAAAATCTGAGTTCAGATACTGCCTTTGATGCTATGTGACCTTGGGCAAAACACTTAGCCTTACTCAGCCTCATTTGTCCATCTGTGAAATGAAGGGAGTTAACTACATAGCCTGTGAGGTTACTTGTAGCTCTACGACTATGACCCTCCTTTCTCTATGACTTATCTAAGAGGCACAATCAGGGTCCTTATGCATAATCAGAATCCCAAACAATGACTTAATCCCTTTAGCCTCATGAAGTTAGTCAAGAAAGAGTTACTAAGTTATTAAGGATGTCAAGAAAAGCCCACCTGTGGTTGTTGCCCTTGAGGAGCTTGTATTTAAATCAAGGAGACCACATGCAAAAAATTATGCATGCCAGATACATGCATAGCTGGTTGATAACCTCAAAAAAGAAAAGAACCACTAGAATGGCAGGAGGGGGTTAAGGGAGATGGGAAAGCCTTCCTATAAAAAGTGAGATTTCAGCAGAGGCTTGAAGGGAATCAGAAGGCAGAGGTAAGGAGACACAGCATTTTTCTGATAACTATTGGGAATAGGCTGGGTCGTGGTAGACGGCCACAAAATAGACAGTATATCAAAAAAACGCCAGAGCCACTAAAGACATGTTTAAATCCTTTTGTCAAAAGCAAGATTGCTTTCAGGTGTCCTATTCCACCCTCACCCCACCCCAACGTCCCCAAAGTTTAAATAAAGTGAAAACCTGTTAATGTTGGGTGAACATTTTGGGAATGAAGTTGTTGATGGATTATTGGGTTCCATATAGAAGCACCTTACAGCAAGCTTTTTCAATTGTTTTCTCTCCTAAAGCCTCCATATGTAGGCAAGCTACCAAGGTTCAGATTCCTCTTCTTTCTCCCCTCTTTCTTGATAGAAAAGATTCATTCACAGAGTCATGCTGACCTTTTAGGCAAGATTCATTCTTATAGAGTCCCCCCTCCAACAACATTCATTTTACATACTGCATAGAGAACCCCTAAAATTGACATTTCAAATCTAACATGCCTTTCTTTCAAAAGGCCAGGCAGCAGCACCTTCACATGTAAGGATAAGAGGTCATTGCTCACTGATAAGGAGGCAGTGATGAATAAAGTAAAAAAAGAGGGGAGGATCCTGACTGAAACTAGAAACCATGGAATTTTGAAAGGAAGAACAAGGAAGAGGGGATTTGTGAAATGGCCCCAAACAGAGAAGGGAAACATTTGGATTAGGCAGTATTGTAGAAAATCTTGATATCATCAGAGCGATTCCAATTGAACTTTGGAAACCATCAATGGAATAGATGAGTATATATAAGTTCTTACAAGTTTCAAGATTACAATGAAAATTAAAAAAAAAAAAGATTGAAGCAATATAGTGCCATAGAAGGAATGTTGGAGTTAGAAATCAGAGGGCCTGGATTCAAATCTTGACCTTGCTACTGACTACATGTGTGATCTTGGGTAGTCACTAACAAGCACTTATTGAGGGCCTACTATGCACCAATCATTGTGCTAGATGCTGGGGATACAAATATAAAAACAGATAGTCACTGCCTTTAAGGAGCTTACATTCTTTTTCTTATTTTATTTTAATAGGTTTTTATTAGAACCTTTTGTTTTTATACCATGTAGATTTCCCCTCCCCCCTCTTGTCTCTCCTCCTTCTCTTCCTCCCAAAGACCCATCCCTTAACATTGTCAAGCTTACAACAATGATTTAAAGAGAGAGAACATAGTCTGCCAAACCATTCAACACATTGAAAAAATCTGGCAGTTATGTCTTGTACACCTGTAGTGCTTGACCTCTGCCAAAGAGAAGTTTCCATTCTAATGGACATAGACAACATGTACCAGGAGTGGTGGCCAAAGACAGATGTTCTGACCTGTGAAGTCACAGGGGTCGTGAGTGGAGCTATAGAGTAATAACATTTCCTTGCCAAGAGTGGTAATGCAGATTTGACTTCTTTTCCCAGATCAAGAGTTGGAAAGTGGGGGGTGAGGTGAAAAGGAGGTGTGTGGCCATCTGGCTACAGGTAGTGAACTCTTTATCAATCAGGAATTCAGCAGTCCAGGGTGGGAGTTAGCATGACTCTGAGGAGGAGGAGGAGGAGGAGGACGACGAGGGTGGAGCCCAGCACCTCAGCAGGAAGATGGTACAACATGGAATTTCTGGAAGCTAGGGACTCTGAGACTCAGAATCCACACATGGCTATTAGTGGCAGAACCAAATGTTCTGATCCAAGGCCGGTGCTATTCTTTCCACGACAAGAGCATAACCAAACTCCTCTCGCTCTCATCCTCACACCCTTTATTGTCTGTCTCTGTCTCTCTACCCCCTCTTTCTCCCTCATCCCCCTCTCTTTTTCTCTTTCTCCTCTCTCTATGTGTAGAAATAGAGAGGGACAATGTTGTTTATGTGTGCAAATATATACATATAAATCTATTCAGATATGGAGAGAGAGCTATACCTGTATCTATTTTAATTTTTTTTTCCTGGAACCTTACTGTGTTACAGTTTACTGTAATGTTGAACTTGATGTGTGCAACATAAAAATCACCAGCCAAAAGGAGATAGAAATTGAAAATAGCGGACCAATCTTGTTACAAAATGATCTCGCCTAGAAACGACACCATCCGTAGGCATGCACCCCAAAGAGATTCCAGTAAGACCTCATTCTTTATAGATGATTACACACAATACTGAGCATTACGAATTTCTCCAAAGGGAAAACAACCTTTAAGTAGGAGAAGCACAGTAGGTTTCCAAACTTTGCAGCTCAGTTTTTCTTATACCTTCAGTAATGTTTCCTTGGCAATTTTACAAAATAAAGACGTACAATTTTTTTTCAGAGTAGTGTTGTTGTTATTGTGGTGGTGGTGGTTGGCATTGTTTTTCCTCTGGGGATGTGGGGGAGGGCATCTTGGTTAACATAGCTTCAATTTTGAAAAGCAAAACTATATCCCCTGAAAGTAATGCATCCGAGGCCCTTCAAATCATCTGGGTTTTCCCCCCTGGGAATTCTTTTGTTTCACATTGCAGGCAGACAGACAATATGAAACTCCTCAGCCCCACCGAATAGCTAAGCAACCAAAAGATGGTTTCTTGGTGGAACAAGTCTTCAGTCCTCACCCCTACCCTGCGTCGCTCAAGTCACACATGAAAAGCAACCCAATGTACACAGACATGAGGCTGACCGAAATGGCTGAAGTAAAGCGAGTCCAGCCCTCTTGGACCATAGAAGAATATGCAAGGAACTCTGGGGAAAAGGGAAAGCTGACGGCTCTGGATCTCCAGGTGAGTTTTGTGCCTATTTTGCAGGAACCACCCCTTCCCCATACCCACAGATCCTTAGCAGGTGTTGTAGTTAAGAATACAGTCAGGGATCCTGCAGTGAGTAGGAAGTCACTACCTTTTCAGGCCACCCTAAGGACTTTGATATATAAGGACTTTGACCCACAACCACGTGTTTCTAAACTTGCCCGAGTTGTAGAAAGAAAGAGGGGAACAGAAGCAAAGTGTATTCAACCATGAGAATGATTGTTTGACATTTGCTTAGATAAAGATGTGTTTAAAATTCGAGCGTAAGCCATGTCAAATACAGTGTCTGTAATATTTGGTCTCAAGCCTGAAGACAAACTGTTTAATGAAATACAAGCTGATTTCTCCTTCCATATGTAGAACGTGGGATAAACATATTTTGGGACCCAACATATGGATTGTGTCTCCATATGGAGCAGTGCCGAGGTAAGAGTCGCCGCCAGAACTCTATGTGTGCAGTCATAACTTAAGAGGCGTGTTTTCCATGTACTTACAGGACCAGTTTTCATTTCGGTGGGCACCTTTCTTGGCACCTCCAGTTAGTTTCACTCACTCCCCAATTGTCTTCTCTAACACATCACTGCAGGAGCAAAGGCGCAGCTATGCCCCCAAAGTGCGCGATAGGCCGTGGAGCCAGCGGGGCTTCATCCACAGGGGAGTGAATGAATGTCCTTGTTTAGTTGCAGACACTGGAATGGAAGCAACCAAGGCTCGCACTGGGTTTTAGAGACCCAGCCTTTAAGGTTGGTTTCACAAGGCCCACATAAAATAAGGGCAACCTAAAATTAGAAGGTTTAAATGTGTTGTGAAGTAAAACTAAGAGGATTATCCATTCACTCAGTAAACATTTGTTAAGCATCTCCTTTGTGTAAGGTGAAAGAATGTAGTGAAAGTGAAACAAAAACAGTGCAGTGAAAGAAGATTGGCCTTAGAGTAAAAATCCTGGGTACAACTCCTGCCTACTGGTTATATGATGGGGAAGTCACAACTCCTCCAAGCCTCAGGCAACTCTCTAAGACTAGCTGTTACAGATGAGTTGTCAGTCTATGTCAGTGATGAGCATTTCCACACCAGAACACCTCAGGATTCATAAAATGTCCCGTAATGTAGGGAGTAGTAATGCTAACTTGAAATGTTAAATTATTTAAAGAACTTTTTTTAAAAAATTAAGTTCAGAAGTAGAGAAGCAAGGGCAGGATCATGAATCAATTATCTTTGATCTTCCCTCTCTTCTCTCCCCTCCCCACTCAGTTACTCATTCAGTGTTCTGTACACAGAAGGTGCTTAATAAATGTTTGTTGATTACCTGAGGTAGGTAATAAGTATGGATCAGATGATATCTTAAAATTGACCTTTTTATATTAAACCAGAAATATTTCAAAACCTTTTTTATTGTCTAAGTACTGTACAGTTTTATGTTTATTATGACTTCTGTGTATATCATGTCCCACGTGTGTATGTCATGTCCCGTCATCTTTCTAGCTGACCCTTCAGGTGAGCATGCCAAAGTTTTGGACTACGTAAGAATTGCATTCTTTCTTTGGAAGGTTTCTTCTATGCTTTAGTCTCCCGGGAGGCCTTTTGGCACAGTGGTAGTCCGGTCACTGAACCTTACCCCAAAGTCAAGGAATCTGGGTTCTGATCCCGGCTATGTCACTCACTAGACCTGAGATCTAGGGCAAAGCATTTAGTGTCTGTGGGCCTTGGTCTCCTTAGCTATAAAGTGAAGGTATGAACTTGATGACTTTCAAAGTCCCTTCTAGTTTTAGAATCCTCTCTTCCTACATCTCCTAAGCTTAAAGAAGCAGGAAGGAGGGTGAAAAATTGGATGGGTATTAATAGTATATACATCTATAGCACAGAAGGGGATGAACCATCAGTATATGGTTTATGAGATGCTTTACATACACTATTTCATACGGTCTTCAAATCAGCTCTGAAATAAAGAGAGCAAGTGTTTATTCCTATTTTATACATGAGAAGACTGAGATTCTAAATATAACTGTTTCCACTTCATTAGAATAAATAATGTGCTCCGATGATATTGGTGGTGATACTAATGAAGCATGTGGACCAGCCAGCAAAGTAAACAAAGTTTTGTAGGTTTGCAACTACATAAAAAGTTAGGAGAAAAGCACATTACCATATTGTGCCTACTTCTTTGTGTAAGCCAAAGTGTAGACCCTGCTTTCATTTGGCATGTCTAGGCATCAGCTGAGTTATTCTTGCCTATGTTACTTGAAAAACTTTTTATTAGATATATGCATCGTGTACAGTTCTATCCTGTAGCTATCTGGGTCATATTCCTCCATGGATCTTACATCTCCTTGGCAACCTATATACCTTTTGATCTGGGTTTTCTAGGGTTTGTGCCTTAACCCTAAGAGGTAATTCCCTAGGGGGAATTTCAGTTGTACTAGAAAGTGAATATCAGAGAGGTATGTAGTCAGGTAGTATCCCTCAAGTCATAACTCACCAAAAGTACCTACAAGGTAGAGGCCAGCCTATATTATCTCTGTAACTCACTTCTCTCTCTCTCTCTGTCTCTCTCTCTCTCTCTCTCTCTCTCCTCTCTCTCTCTCTCTCTCTCTCTCTCTCTCCTTTAAAATCTAGAAAGGAAAATCAAACAATCAAATAATCAAATGCATCCCCTCTTAGATATCCTATAAGAATATAGTGAGGTGGCATTGAAATTCAACTCTGGTTAACCAATGATGAAATATACCCATAATTAAACATACAAGATCACAGGACTTAAAAATGAAAGGGACCTTAGAAGTCATCAAGTCCAACCCCAAAGTCCAATTTCAGGATGAGAAAATAGAAATGCAGAGCAGGCAAGTGACTTTCCCAGGATTACCCAACTCTTAAATGTCTGAGGTGGGATTCAAACCCAGTTCCTCAGTTCCCCTGACTAAATCCAATGTGATGGCCATGATGTCATTTATGACAAATCATTCCATTTTCATTTTTCTCCCTGTAATTTCCATGCCTCACCAAGACAAAAGCCCAGATTCCCTATGTTTCAGCATGTGCGTTCATAGGTAAAGTTTCATATGTGCATGTAAAAGATAGATGATGCATGCTTGCCAGAAGGAATGACACATACCATCGACACCTCTGCATCTGTTGGCCTCTTTGGAGGGTAGAAAAAGCAAAGTCCCAGCAGCAAGTTTCTGACACTACTGGGTTTTTCCTGTACTCCTTTTTTCAGGCACCTGATTGTGTTGAGTCACCACTTGACCAGTACTGACAATAATTTTCAGTTAGCCAAGACTTCCATCAGAGAGCTTGTTAAGTCTAGGTATGGGGCAGTGTTGATTTCTTCCTTTACTGCAGCTCCATTTTTTTTTCAGATTTTCAGAGCAGTGTGGATCTGCTATCTTCTAGCCCATAAGATGTATTGATGGGCCAGTCCCTTATAGAGTCATGGTAATGAAGTTAGATATCAATCTGGCCCACCTTGGATGGAAAGATAGAGGGGATTTAAGAGGACAACAACAGCTCCATAACTCTCAGTGATGACTTTTGTGCTGTATGATAGCCAAGCTACTGGCAATTAGATACAGCAAAGGTGGGTGTATGGAGTATTGGAGAAATAGGGAAAGTCATTTGGGCAAACTATTTTTATGGATAATACAACGCTGACTTCCAAGGACTATTGAAAGATGATCATTGACAAGCATTCTGTTACAGATTAATATTATTTTTTGCTCCTGCAGGAATGTGTGGGACTCTAATGTGCCTCTGTTCTTGAGCATAAAAATAAAAAAAAGCAACGGCCAAAATGGTGTCTTCTTTCAAATACAGGAATGAACAACCCCCACCAGCCCCAACAAATGGAAATTTTGGCTTCTGGATTTTAGTTGAACGTTAATTAAAAGTGCAAAAGAGAGCTGTTTCTATTTGGCTTTCATATATCATAGAACTGTTACCATGAAATAAAGAAACTGCCCTGCTGTGTGTGAGAGTCCTTCATGGTTCAAATTATCCATTTAAAGTGGAATACACAGTCAATATCAAAAAGGAGATGCCTCCTTAAGTGCTCATTAATCTCAATGAAGCCAAGAGACCTGATGTTATTGATACTTCTTATTGGGGAAAGATAAAAGGAATTTTTAAACATAACTAAGACCAGATTGGAAGGGGAAATTTACAGATTAACCTGAGAGTACAGGGTTTTCTAAATAATCATTCAAACAACTAGTATTGTCATGACTTTGTGGTTGCATTCAGGTCTGCCTATGTAAAAGTATAATGCAGTCAAGAGTTCTGGAGTATCACAAGACCTGGCTTCTCCAGTCCTGGCTCTGTCAGTAACTTACTGTAGGACTTTTACTCTCCGAGCCTGTTTACTCATTAGTAAACTGAGAATTTGAGAGTACATGATCTCAGAGGTCCCTTCCAGCCCTAAGATCACAGGATTCACTTGAATTGTTCAGTTATTTTGTTGTTGTTCCAGCATTTTGCAAGGAGGGCCCTTTGATTTTTCAAGAGAAATGTTTCCTAAATAGTACGGAATGCCACAATTCTTGTGATGATTTTAATTACATTTAATTACTGGCCTGATGGCCTAAAGACTATTTTCCTGTTTCTACTCTGTCCTTTCAATGGGCATACTCCTGGCGTGAAAACCTTCCCCAATGTATTATATCAGTGGGAATAACGGATGTAGATGGATTTCTGATCAAATATACATAGTGGGTTTGCACTTCACAACATTTTACTTGTTTGTGGAGATATGGCCAATGCGCTTTCATGTTTCAGAAAATTCATGGCATTTGTGGTGGAGGGAAGAGGGGTAAATGTACTTGGTGAAGTTGTAGTGAATGGATGGAACAGTTTGCTTTCTAACTGGGTGGCTGAGGGAGGAGGCAGTGTTAACTTGTTTAATGTCAGTATCAACTAGTTGCAAAACTAACATTAAAAGTACCAGGACTAACAAATGTCAACATGTTTTGTTTTGTTTTTTTAAACAATTCCAAGTACTTATGGGGGTTTTTTTGTTTGTTTTTTGTCCCTTTCACTTTTAGACTCAAGAGTCTTTAAACCCAAATAATTTAGAATACTGGATGGAAGATATTTATACTCCAGGCTATGATTCATTATTAAAACGTAAAGAGGCTGAATTCCGAAGAGCAAAAGTCTGCAAGATTGCTGCCTTAATTACGGCGGCTGCTTGCACAGTCATCTTGGTCATTGTAGTGCCCATTTGTACAATGAAGTCATGACTCCATGATGAGGACCGAGGACACTGGACTGTCTACTGTACATAATTCCAGATACCTCCTCCTGTATTTTCCCATCTTGTGGCAATACAACGACAATTTGTTGGAATAAATGTGCTATCATGGTGGTTCTTCTGTAAATGATGAAGATAATTTTCAAGAAAATCTACTTATAGAAAGAAATACACCTATTCAAGTCAATTCAGTCAAAATTTTTATGCATTTTTAGAAGTGCAACATTTTTCCTACCAAAACAATGCAACATTTTAACAGTACAACTAATTGAATTCCAAGCAAAAAAAAAAAAAAGGAAAAAAGAGATCATGCATTTGCCTCTTGTGATTTTTTTAATGAGGGTGGGCAGTAGCGATCGTGTTATATTGAAGACATTTGATACATGTCTTCTTGGGGAGACCAGGAGATATTAAAATGCAAAGAAATATGAATGTATTGTATTTTTACTTAGTCATATATCTATTGATTATCCAACAGAAGCAGGCTGCATATCCATAAAAGGACTTTATTTCCATATCGAAATTGCTAAAGGGCTCTTGATTATTCATTCTTGCCCTTCCACCTTCATTACCATCCATGTGCAAATTCTTTTCCACTTGGCAGATCTCCACTTTATTACGCTGTGCACCCCTCTTGCTTCTGCTCATTATTGATTTGTGAGAAGGGAGAATAGGTCAACTCAATCAGGGTCTGGCAGGAAAATTCATCCTGGAAATTTACTTGACTAAAGCACTGATCAGAGCAGACTGACACTTCCCCCCAAACACACACACACACACACACACACACACACATACACACACACATACATATATATATGTATATATATATATATATATACATATGTACACACTCAAAAAATGTGTTTAATAATGTCTAAAATGCTGTAATTACTTCCTTTTTTTTAAAGTAAGATTAGAACATTATGGATAGCAAAGGATGAAACTCCTTTCTTTTGCAGGGGCAATAAGCATCCATCTTGATAATATTCCTCCTACTTGGACACCTCACACCATTTTCCTTACTAATGTAATTTAGAGAGGTTGGAATATATCTTTCTGCCTCACAGGATAGAGATAACAGTTTACTTCTCATATTTTCACTGCATAAAATTTTGATAAAATGTATTATAAATATCAGCAATTTCAATTTTTTTCATATTGTTTTCAATGATTGCCCAATGGTATAATTCCATAATTGGGAACTGAGGTGTTTCTTCTGCCCTCTTCCTCTTCCAATTTCTGGAGACATGATTACAGTGCATTATATTTTCTGATAATTTACTTAAAAAATAACATAACTCTAGTATACAGAAAGCTCCTATCAGTATTTTATCTCTTATAATTTGGTGAATAATTTAATAATCTTAAGTGAAACAGTCTTTCTAAAACTCAGATTTCAAGTTACATAGTTTATGTTTTTTATATGAGGCAATTGGGGTTAAGTGACTTGCCCAGAGTCACACAGCTACTGAGTGGTATGTATCTGAGGCTGGATTTGAACTCAGGTCCTCCTGACTCCAGGGTTAGTGCTCTGTCCACTGCACCAACTAGCTGTCCCACAAGTTATATAGTTTAAAGGAAGACAAAGACTAAAAGAAGTTTTTAAAAATAGTTCTTTCCAATCACAATGGATTCTTACAATTTTTTTTTGTGTGGAGGATTGCCTATTTTTGTACCAATAGGAACTTAAATGCTCATCTTATAAAAACTCCAAAGTAACTATATGTAATTTCATGTGTTTAACTGCATATCTTGGATATGCCTTACATATGGTAGGAAGGTGCTCAGTGAATATTAAATCAATATATTAACACTTTAGAACTGGTTAATTTACTACATGGTTGAACTTTGTTTTAAGAAATAGCCATGTTAACTCTGTTTGCAAAGTCATATTGCTGGGCTTTCAGTTAGGCTATTGAAACCTTCATATATGAAGATAAGCATTTATGGATTGAAACTGAAAAGGATTAAAGTTCTGCCTATAAATAGAAATTGCCTAATTTTTAAATGCATCTCTTCAGTGTCTGAGGGTTGGAATATTTTAGTCTGAGCTGGACACAGTGAATAGTTTTGTTCTTCTCCAACCAAGGAGATCAATGTACTAGCTCCTGTTGAGACACAGAAATGGAAATAAACCATCAGGTATGATTTCCCCATCCCTCTTCACTCAGCTTTCAGCCTCAGGCCCACAAGTTTCTCCTTCCAAAATGAAGCCAGCATGGAGACAAGAACAGCCAGCAGCCTGCATTCTTGTTTTGTGGCTTCCAATTGAATAGAAAAGGCTACACCTATCTTCTGGGGCCATTTTTATGTCTCCTTGGCCAGGTGTAAGATCAACAGGAAAGGTGCCATTGCTTCTTTCTAGAAATTGAGCTCTTTTTTGCCCCCTCCTTGGGGCTGCCTGAAATCTATATGCACAGAGCAATGTGGCTATATGTCTCATACTTAGAGGCATAAAAGCCTGTGATAACATGTGCCTTCTCATGTGTGTTTGCCATGAGAGAAGCTAGAGAAAACTGGACTGATTATTTACTTCCAATATAACCTCTGAAAACAAAATTCAGTCCCATTGATAAATAATAGACAATTCCATACCTGTTAATTCCCCTATCATAGATTTAGAAAGCTAAAAGGGGATTATAGAAACCATCTTCACCTTCATTTTACCAATGAAGAAAATGAGGCTTGTAAAAGACTTGAGTTGTTCAAGGTCACTTAATAAATTTCAGAGCTCAGATTTGAATCCAGGTTCTCTGACTCCAAATTCAGCATGCTTTCACTGATTCACAGCATGGGGATGAGTGGTGTAGAAAAATCATAAGGAAAGGCTTCCTTCCTTATGAGAATGAAACATGAGAAGGGCTTCCATAGAGCACAAAGCCTTTTGGGATCAGATTAGATCAACCTGGCAAATATCACCAAAGCAAATATTCTTTTGTCAGGAGGTCATTACAGTCAGAGATCCACACTAATCTTAGCAACTGGGAGGAGGAGAGCCCCTGTATCTGTAGATGGTGGGTTCTGGGAACTTGGAATCTAGTGGAGATGAGGGAGGAGATCTGCTTTTGTCTTTCCCCAGACACAAAGCTTTCTCCTAGCACCACATTTTTTGGCTTGTGAGCTCTCCCAGGTTCTCCTCCATTCATTCCTTCATTTGCAGTGGAGTGAGGCCAGGACACTTTAGTCCTGTACAACACTGCTGAAGCCCATTCAGCATCCCTAAACTGAGATGCTCCCCTAGATGGCTACTCAGCAAGTCGGTGTGGTGTTCCTTGTCTCCTCTGCCATCCCTGTAGAGCAGGCACTGTACTCTCTGACACTTTTCTAAATGGCACAGTTAGTTCACTGTGCCTAAGGATTGATATCCTCATAGCAAAATTCATGTAATTCCAACCTCTCTCAATATTGGGTCACCTTTCTTGGATGTGCGTGTTAAGTGTTTTAAATAAATATCCAGATGCAATTGTATGAGTAATATATGCTAAAAACAGTTATTCTTAGCTAATGACTAAATTCATAATCATTTCCTCTTTCTTTGTAGATCTGTTTGATTTCAGTCGGTTTTTTGAACACAGCCTTGCAGATAAGCAAAAAATATTACCAACTCACAACTTTAAAAAACTCTTTTTTTCCTCCTTGCCTACACTCTCTTCTTTTTAGACTACACAGTCTGTGTAACAGAGTGTAATAAACAAAATTGGCATCTTTCCCTACTAGCTGGTCATAAATTATTAGTAGTTCAGGGCATGCTGCTATGGCTCTCTGCAAGGCTAGTTTAATAGATGTGCTTCAATTCCTAACTTACATGTTTCATGGCTTACCTGTAGCAGACTCCAACAAGCAAGGATTCTGTTAAGTGGTACAATAATTCATGAATATGTTGGAGTCCTAAATTTGACACATAGTAGGTTCATTGTGGACAAAACCAACCTACAAGAATATCGTGGTCAATCTTGTGAACTAATTACCAAACCAGTATATGCTGTATAATGTAATATGGAAACTTGTATAAAAAGGAAAAGATATTGGTAATCTTTGGTGTGATTGGAAAAAAGTGTATTAAACAATATTTAATATTTAAGTAATAATGAAAAATGCAATGAACTGTTTTTTTTTCTTATGCCTTATAAACAAATTGATATGTAAAGAATAAAGTGAACTTATAAGAATGAGGACTTTTAAGGAATGTACATCCTTTGGGAGGCAAGGACTGTCTTTTATATGTTATATACAGCACTAGGCACACTCTCAGTGCTTAATAAACATTATATAATACTAATAACTGAGCACATTTTTAGATCTTTTTCTTTCCAAATGGTGAGCATAAAATTTTGCTAATATACAATGGTCAGTTTGAAGTTATCATGTAAAATTTGCTTCTCCAAATAAAATAGCAAATAAACTTGAAAATTACAAACATTTTCCAGTGAGGTATTAATACACACATATTTTATTCTTTCATAACTTTCTTTTTCCCAGGGGCAACAAGGTATTCTCTTTGTTAGCTAAATAAATAACCCATATGGTTTTTCTCAGGGATCTAGCCAACGCTCACGTTTCTGAAATAATGAAGTGGAACATGATGAAAAAAGAATTAATAAAATTTTTGTCTTCAATTTCCAAGGTGTTACTGAACAGCTTTAA